TAGAAATCACGCCGGCAACAAGTTAAATGGTGAAAAATTGACTCAACCTTTCTGTTGTGTGTCTCTGTGTGCCACATGGAGCATGGAGAAGAGAAAGAGCAACAAAGATTTGTCTGAGGATTTGAGAACAAAAATTGTGGAAAAGCATGGACAATCTCAATGTTACAAGTCCATCTCAAGCGCTTTTAATGTTCCTGTGTCCACTGTGCACAGCATTGTTAAGAAGTTTACAGCCCATGGCACTGTAGCTAAACTCCCTGGATGTGGACAAAACAGAAAAAATTGATCAAAGACTGCAATGAAGGATTGTTTGGATGCTGGCTCAAAAAAATTAAAGGAACACTTTGAAAACACATCAGATCTCAATGGGGAAAAATATCATGCTGGATATCTGTATTGATATGGACTGGGTAATGTGTTAGGAACACAAGTATACCCCATTGTTTGATGGAAATGAAAATTATCAACCTACAGAGGACTGAATTCAAAGACACTCTGAAAATCAAAGTGAAAAAATTATGCAGCAGGCTAGTCCATTCTGCTGAAATTTCATTGCAGCAACTCAAGATGGTACTCAGTAGTTTGTATGGCCCCCACGTGCTTGTATGCATTCCTGACAACATGCCTGCTTGCTCCTAATGAGACGACAGATGCTGTCCTGAGGTATTATCTCCCAGATCTGGACCAGCGCATCAGTGAGCTTCTGGACAGTCTGAGATGCAACCTGGCGACATCGGATGGACGAAATCATGATATCCCAGAGGCATTCTATTGGATTTAGATCAGGCGAGCATGGGGGCCATTCATTGGTATCAATTCCTTCAGGCGGACCTGCAAATTCTGGTGTTCAATGGCAAATGCCAATCGAGCTCTATGGTGCTGGGCAGTGAGGACAGGGCCTACTAGAGGACGTCGAGCCCTCAGGCAACCCTCATGAAGTCTGATTCTGATTGGTCATGGACATTCACACCAGTGGCCTACTGCTGGTCATTTTATAGGGCTCTGGCAGTGCTCATCCTGTTCTTCCTTGCACAAAGGAGCAGATACCGGTCCTGCTGATGGGTTAAGGACCTTCTACGTCCCTGTCCAGCTCTCCTAGAGGAACTGCCTGTCTCCTGAAATCTCCTCCATGCTCTTGAGACTGTGCTGGGAGGTACAGCAAACCTTCTGGCAATGTAACGTATTGATGTGCCATTCTGGAGGAGATGGACTGCCTGTGCAACCTCTGTAGGCGCCAAATATTGCCTCATGCTACCAGTAGTGACACTGATCTTGGCCAAATGAAAAACTAGTGAAAAACAGTCAGAAATGATGAGTAGGGAAAAAAATTCAGTTGCCTCTACCTGTAAACCTATTCCTGTTCTGGGGGTTGTCTCATTGTTGCCCATATAGTGCACCTGTTGTTAATTTCATTAACACCAAAGCAGCTGAAACTGATTAACAACTCCCTCTGCTACTTACCTGACCAGATAAATATCCCAGGAGTTTAACTGACTTGATGCTATACTCTGATTAAAAAGTGTTCCTTTAATTTTTTTTGAGCAGCGTGTGTGTATATGTGTATGTATGTATGTATATATGCCGCATTTTTGCGTGCCCAAATGTAAATAAACTTGTGCAGAGCCCTGCTTGCTCCTGGCACAGTTGCCGGTGTCTAATGGAAAGTTCCCAATCACTATTTGCGAGGAGCTTTCCGATCATGTGACCACTATGACAGCCAATCACGGCGGTCACATGATCAAAAACCCCACCCCACCTCCACCATCAGAAACCTCTTAAAGGGCTGGGAGGCGTGGCGTAAAGGTGTTAAGTAGGCCATAGACGAGTTGAAAACCAAATGAAAATTCTTGGTTAATTGCCCTGATTCAACATTGGTGAGATAGGAGAAATTTTCACATCATTAGTGTGCCAGCTGCAACACTCTATTTTCTTGTTGCAATCAAAAGTGCCTGATTCAACATGCTGGATTTATTTTAGAAAAATGAAACAAATGATGGCACAATTGTGTGAGGCACTTTGTTTTTCGATCAGCAAAACGTTCGATTTTTTTTTTCAACTTTTCTATGGCCTGCTTTAGAGTCTGTTCACATATGTGCGAGCATGTTTGCGCATGCATGCTGTGAGTACAGCAGTCATTTGTTTCAATGGGCTGTGCTACCCATGAAAAACAGAGTAGGACCCTTTTTAAAAATTGTGCTCCCTTTAGGGTATTACTAAAACTAAATTGAAAGTTGTTGGTTGCAGTTCCTGTTACAAACAGATATCTGAACCACCAAACTGAAGTCAAATGCAGAAGGCACTAGCAGAGTCTTGGGAGAAACAGGCTTTGTAATGAAGTAATGGGGCAAGACATCTGTAGAAGAGTTTAGGTGAGATAGGAGAAATGGGCTAGGGATCCACTTGGCAGAATAACCATGTGTACCAAGATGCTGCATAGAAGTTGTTAGGTAGTAACAGCAAAATATACTGTAGATGCAGAAGTTCTGTCTAGGGCTAGAGTTGGTACAGGTAGCTGAATAGCAGCTGACATTGGAGCAGGTTGCAGAGGCTGTATACTATATGTTGGAGAAAAAAAAAGCTTTTGTTTCCATGAAGTCATAATAATTCTTGATCTTGGTCTTGCTGTTAACAGCTTGAAGCTTGAAATCCTGGGTTGAAGGCAACTGAACTGAAGTTAGAAACCAAGAATGCAGCATGGCAGCAAAGGGAGGCTTGCAACTGAAACCCACAGGAGTTATCATGGGCAATGGAGCCATCAGGCAGAGGTTTCCAGCCCTGATGAGCAGTGACTGGAACCTTCATCTCTTTCCAGTGACTTCATATATTTTCCACACTAATAGTGTATTTGGGAAACTGGGTAACATAGGGCAAGGAGGTAGATGACAGGAATGGTATGAAGTAGCAAGAATTGGATAGTAGACAAAACTGTCATAGGCAACTGGGCAGCTGAAATTTTTAAAGCCTAAAGAAAAAGCACAAGGAACATAATGCACAGTCAGTATGATAGATCCCTTGCACCGATGCCTCTTCTGTTAGATGAACTCCTTCACCATCGATTCCACCACCGCCATAGTCTTCCTCGGTGGTGGGGGTTAATTAAACTGTTGGAGCTGTCACAGGCGCTCATCAAATGTTCTCAACTATGCCCACTCTTTCCACCCAGCTTCTCCATTTATAGAAGCCAGCATTACAGCTTCCATGAATGAAAGATAATCTATGAACGGAGGATGGGTAGATGATTGAAAGGTCTGCACCCTCCATTTACATCCTACTGACTGTATGTCCCTTGTGCTGATCTTTGTACTTTTTGTTTGACTGGACCTAGTCTTTAAATGCTGGTGTGTAGAGAAAAGAGATGTAATCTGCATTCACATTTGCTGAGTGCCTGGTTTGCACACTTTGTTTGAGTGCTTGTACTGGCATTTTTTCACATTTTTTGTGGGTGTCTGAGGCTTGGGTGCTTTGTTTTTTTTCCAAATGAGTTTAGGTAAAAAATTTGCAATATGAGTGTTTTTTTTTTTTGCATGTTTTCCAGGCATTCCTATTGAAGTCTATTGGAGCTAAAAATGCTTGAAGCTTGTAGCTCAAAAGAAATTATTGTACTTTTTTAAAATACAAGTTCAAGCTTCAAGCAACACTGCCCTAAGGTGTGAACAGGCACAGCTGAAAACCATGGGATTTCAGATGTTGAGTGTTTTAGAGGTTCGAGCTTTGAATGTGAATGGGATCATAAAGATATGGAGATTGTGGAGTTGTCCATTTACACCCAACGCCTGTCCATTTACACTCAACTGCCATCAGATTCGCTGGATGGAAGGGCATTGGATCCCCATCCATCTGTTTTTGTCAGATTGGATCGGTTGTAGGCAGGTGTAAAGGACATGTCTGTTTACACCTGCCGCTCCATAGAGGAAAATGGAGGTTCTGATCGGGTCTTCTTGAAAAATAGGCAGTCGGATCTGATCAGAACCTTGATTCTCCTCTATGGATCTGCAGGTATAAATGGACATGTGTCTGCTTACACCCGCCTACATCCAATCCGCAAAAAACAGAGGGATGGGGAGCCGTTCCCCTTCCATCCAGTAGATCTGGAAGGCAGTTAAGTGTAAACGGCAAGGCAGTTTGTTTACATCCAACCGCTCATAGAGGAGAGCAGACTGTGTCCGTGTCTGCGCTGCAAAAGTGAAGCAGACATGGACCTGTCATCTGGACAGATCCCCTGCTGAGCAAGCGGATCACAGGCAGAGTGCGCCCCATGTGAAAGGGACCTAGATGCTGGAAAAAAAACGTAATCCAGAATTTTTGCTTTATTCTGGTGTGTATAGAGGTAATACACCCTAGCAGAGACTCCCTAGGATACTTACACCCTAGCAGAGACTCCCTAGGATACTTAAACCCTAGCAGAGACTCCCTAGAATACTTATCAATATAGTTTTTTATCGTCCTTTGGCTACAAGATCAGACTGCACTTGAGTAGCATTATAGGGAGATGAAAATTTGTCAGTCATATTATTTTTGAACAAAGCAAGATTAGACCAGATTTAGATTAGAAGATACTGCCCCAGCTTTACTACATTTCTCCACCTCATCCATTCATAAACATCTGTTTACTTTTTCACAAAATACAAGGCATTTTGTGAATGGGATAGGAGAGGGTTGGATGAGCAACACAAGTTCCCCTTTTCCAATCACAGAGTGTCTTGTATTTGTTGAAAAGAATTTGATGTTTTATGAATGATATAGGTGGAGAGCAAACGACCCACTGTGACAACTGTATAAGAGCCGTAACTGTATAATTCAGTGAATGAACTTCAGTACTTATACTGGTTTAAAGGATTAATTACAGTAAGAGTTTTAATTATATCAGCAGCAGCCAGATACAGGACAACAATCATTAAAGGTATTTTATTTTAAAACAAACTCAAGTATTGTTTTATCCCTACAACATATCCAAGTGAAATTGTCTTTTCCAGAGAGTTGGTTCTTTATTCTTAAAGTTACTAAACCCACAATAGTAAAATCAGTCTATATGCAGTAAAGCATGTTTGTTATACTCGCTGTGGAACTTAAGGGGTTAATCCCCTGCATTGTGTAAAAAGGCTGTTTGATCCTGTCTTCTCTGATCCTCTCCTTCTTCCACAGTCCCCAATCCATCTGCTGATAGAACAGAGCCTTGGGGGCAAGAAGCACATGCTCAGTTTGGTGTGTATGGCTAGAGATTTTTTTTTTCTTGGGAGAGTGCATGTGATCAGCACAGGGCCAATCAGCACTGTCCAGACAGAGGGTCAGGGGTCCTGCAGCCTCATAGGACAATCGGGCGAATGAAAACTGCTCCTACAAGCTTTAACCAGTGCTCTGCTGGACACTGATCAAAGTCACAAGACTACTATATACTTCTAATAAGAAAAGGTATAAAACAGTATATATTTACTTTAAATTTTAATTGTATTTCCATGTTCTGTGTACTGTGGGAGACCAGATATAGTGAATGCAGGGTCCTGGGTTTAGTAACACTTTAACAGCTCCGAAAGACAGCTTCACTGTAGTCACCAGTGAAAGCTTGAGACTGATTTGAATTAAGACTCATTTGTTTTTTTTTTCCATGTTGCCCACGTTATTCCTAAATGACTGCAGGTAACGGGCTGGCAAAAGATTATATAATTTGGACGGGTCATCTTAATTTGCACTTTTTCTTGTTAGGAAATGAAATCTAGATAGAGTGGGACAAGCAATATAAATAAATGTACCATAGAGGGTTCTCATTATTATTATTATTATACAGGATTTATATAGCGCCAATAGTTTGCTCAGCGCTTTACAACATAAAGGGAGACAATACAGTATCAATACAGTTCAATACAAGAGGGATAAGAGGGCCCTGCTCCTTGGAGCTTACAATCTAGGAGACATCATCCAGATCCCCTGCTGTTATTAGTTCATTCAATGGAAAACGTTGGAATACCTCTCCCATTCACCACCCACCACCACCACCACCAAAAAAGGAAAATAAAAAAAACACCACAGCCAGAGAAAAAAACAACCAAAAAAAAAAAAGACTACCTCTCCCTTCCCAACCACCTAGTGTTTACCAAGGTCCTTCTTTTTCAGGGCCCCCCACATCTGGTGCCAAGGAACATGCAGACTGGTATTAGCTTGAAAGGTGGCCTACACAGGTATACACGTGCAATCCTGTAAGGAAAAGAAGAAGGAAACCAAAGGAAAGGTATCCCACTGGTCAAGGGGTTCCAATGAGGACATTATGCGGCTAATTTTTTGTTGCTCATACACATGTAATCCTGTCTGGGACATCAACCCCTGTACATGGTTGTTCTAGGCTGATAGTATTCAAGGTGACTACAAAAAAAACTACTGGCAGAATGAAATTGGTATATCCTACTATGAGGAACTAGGAGCACAGAGAGAGAGTGAGAGCACACAGAGGTAAATCACACAGGACCCAATGTGCAGGCAAAATTGGGAGATTTAGGTATACAATAAGACACAGCACAGCAAAGTAATCCACAGGGCAGCAGCACAACAAGGTTACTTAGCACCTGGAGTAGTGATAAGACACAGCAGGGAAAATAGTATACTGAGTACTGAGTAGCTGTAAGGCAGAGCAAGAGTCAACAGACCAGGAGATCCAGGCTCCACCGAGCAGTAATATGACACAGCAAAAGGAGCAAATGGTCCTCAGGGCAACAATAGGGTAAACCAAGGATTTCCAGTCCTCAAAATGGCAATATGGCACATCAAAGGGAGATAGTCCAAGGGACAATATCACAAAGGAAGGAGGAAAAAATATGCAGAAGGATTTAAAGACTCAGGCTGGGGATGTTTTACTGTCCTGAGTAGTTTACGTGGTAGTCTAGGTGTCAGGGCTCCAGGTACGGTACTCCATGGGGGGGAATCTGGGCACCCCACAGAAGGTGTCTGGGCAGGCAGAGTAGTCCGTGGACTCTGGGCACATGGCAAAAGGCACTTGAGGAGAAGGCAGGCAGAGCAACCCTGGGACTCTGGGCACACAGTGGCAGGCGCCTGAGGAAAGGGCAAGCAGAATGATCTGTGGACTCTATGAACAGAGCAGTAGGCATCTGAATAGAAGGTAGGCAAGGTAATCTGTGGCCTCTGGACATACAGCAGCAGGCATCTAAGGAGAAGATAGGCAGGGCATTTCAGAAGCAGGCAGGAGGAGAAAGCTCCTGGAGGCCCGACCTTAGCATTTGGTCCTCACAGGCAAAGGGAATACGCAAGGGTGATGCCACCAAAGATCTCCTCTCTATTCCCCCCCAGTCCCAGGTAGATATACCTGAGCTGGGGTGCAATCTTGTAGCCCAGGCAACCTGACACTCAGCATCAGATTGCCCGGGCAATGGACTCCACCTCCATCCCACATAGCCACATCAGGCATGCGGCTGGGGCAAACTCTTTGTGTCCAGTAGGAGACCCTGGAAACTGGGAGAAGTTGCAGCTGTGCATGGTAGCCAATCAGCTTCAGCTTGTTTAACCACTTGCCTACCGGGCACCTTTACCCCCTTCCTGCCCAGGCCAATTTTCAGCTTTCAGCGCTGTCGAACTTTGAATGACAATTGCGCGGTCATGCAACACTGCACCGAAACAAAATGTTATCTTTTTTTTGAGACAGAGATTTCTTTTGGTGGTATTTAATCACCGCTGGGGATTTTAATTTTTGCTAAACAAACTAAAAAAGACTAAAAAAAAATTAAAAAAAAGTTTTTTTCCTGGTTTCTGTTCTAAAATTTTGTAAATAAGTAATTTTTCTCCTTCACTGATGTGCCCTAATGAGGCTGCAGTGATGGGCACTGATAGGCGGCACTGATGGACACTCATAGTTGGCACTGCAGGGTGGCACTGATGGGCATGGACAGGCATCACTTGTGGGAATTGACAGGCATCACTGAAAGGCAACACTCATATATGGCACTGATAGGTGGCACTGATTAGAACTGTTAGGCGACACTACTAGGCACTGATAGGAGACACTGACTGGCACTGACTGGCACTGATAGGTGGCACTGATAGGCTACACTGACTGGCACTGATAGGTGGCACTGACTGGCACTGATAGGCGGCACTGAAAGGCAGTACCTTGATGATCAGTGTAGATGTCCCCTCTGAAGGAATGACGATTACCGGCTCTCGATCTGTCAGTGAGAGGAGAGGACTGCCGATAACCGGCATTTCCTATTTACATGTGATCAGCTGTGATTGGGTACAGCTGATCACATGACAGACCTGACATCATCAGCTCCTTACAGTGATTGGTGAACCGCTGTGTCCCAGAGAGACAGCGCACCACCAATCGCCACGTGCCCCCCCCCCCCCCCCCCCGAGGGCGCGCACACACGCAGTTTGAGTGGGAGGACGTCATACGACGAGAGAACTGCCGCCCTCCCCTCATTACCTTATATGGTGGGCGGGAGGCGGCTAATTAAAGTGGTTATAAGGCTCAAGGTGTTTTACGTTCATGCTTTTTATGCATGATGGTAAAAAAACCTTCTTTGTGCAGCACCCCCTCCCCCAATACTTACCTGAACCCCATCATGATCCAGTGATGTGCACGTGACCTTCCGCTTTCTGGGGACTTTCCCTCCTCTTTGGCTACTTTCTCCTGCTTCTGTCAATCACTGAGCCAATGGGGAGAGAGAGGGGATGGGGCCAAGTCGTGGCTCTATGTGTGAATGGACATGCAGAGCAGTGGCTCAGGAGTGAGCCTGCTTGGGTCCCCTCATAACAAGCTGCTTGGCAGGACGGAGAGGCCATGAGCACTGGCAGGGACCTGACAAGAGGTGGATTTGGGGTGCTCTGTGCAAAACCACTGCAGACAGCAGGTAAGTATAACATACTTGTTTGTTTTTTTAAATTGCCTTTAATATTACTTTAAGCTTTGACAATACAACTTGGAAGCTGATTGGTTTCTATGCAGAGCTACAGATTTTTCACTCTGCAGTTTTACTAAATCAATCGTATTGCAATTTTCTTTCTCTGTGAATGTTTCTCAAAAATTCTTATCTTCATATCTAAAGGGACCTTCTTCACCTTTTTCTTTGTATTCCTCTCTCTTAAAAGGCTTGGTAACGCCTTCCCTTCTTTCTCTTTTCTCTTTTTTTTCTATGTGATTGTATTTTTGATCTATACATTTGACATATTCACTTGTCAAACAATGTCTGCTAATCATACCTTATCTAATTTTGAAAAAAAAAAAAAAAAAAGATATTTGAACAAAAATCTTGTATACCAGATCATAGGATCCAATCCGATGAATTGCCGGGAAACAGAATTTTGATGATTCACTCATCTTTACTGGCCAATAATTAGATGTGGGTTATTGTGTAGATATTGGTGGCCCTGAAGCTTCTGATGACACAGTATGTGAATCTGTTCCCTCTTCCACACCCTGTCTGCTATCTTTACAACTGCAGTCTGGAAAACGTATGTGGAAACTAAAGGAGACACAAAAATGTTTTGAATTGTTTTGTAATCTTTGCTGTACTTTGCACAGTACAGTAATTTTATTGCTTTTTTTCTTTAAACCTGCCACGCTGTTAATGTGTCTAGAGCTGTAAACATCAAATATAATTACACATGTTTATTGCAGGTTCTTTAAAAAGCTCTGACCCCAGCTAAGGTGACAAACCTCTAATAATATTCTTGACATGTTTCTGTGCTGTTTCTTGCTTGCATCCTCCAGTATCAGGTAAACCATTTGCGGCACCTTTCTGTCAGTTATAGGAATAAGGTTCAGGTATATCACTACTGCAGGTTCAAGGTGAATGCTGCGAGTTCAAAATTTGCGATCCGAATGAAATAATGTACAAATTCACCAGAAATCATATTTTTAAAGCCATATTGCATTGCAAGACCTTTGAACTATGGCCAGCAGGCTTGGAAGGACCAATGTTGTGGCTTCTGAATAAGGGTAGACAAGAGTATTGGAAGCTGTGAGCAAAGAATAGGGACAGCTAACAAACTGCATAGAAAAAGATTAGGGATTACAGTCAAGAAACTGTATTTTAATTTGAATTGCTATCTCTATGGGCAATCAACCCCTTTGTTGCCCTGTCTGTAACAAACATTTTTTTTTTTTTTTTACATTGCAAGGCTTCTTTACAAACGGAAATTATATATAGAAAGGGATTTGCATACTTAATCTCCAGGATAAAGTTGAGGACAGGCACAAATCAGCAGATATAAAGTAAAAAAGGAAAAACCTGCGCCACACCCAAAAAAAATTAATGACAATGAATAAATAAATATGTGAATAAATATAGTGAACAGCTGCTACTCTTTTCTTGAACGCCAGAAAAATACAAAACATATATAAAGTGAGTGCGCTGTACACTAAACAATCAAATGCAATAGCCAAACACAGTATATCAACAAAATAATAATGTGACAAAAAGTATATTGCTTAAGTGCTATAAAAATTCCAAATTCATATAGTGAATAAATAAAAAAGTTCCAAATCC